GCGAAATTCAAAAACAAACAAACATGATTAGATGATATAGATTTTTAAACATGATTAGATGATAGACAGATTTTTAAACATGATTAGATGATAGTTAGATCTTTAAACATTATTGGATGATAGTTAGATAGATCTTTAAACATTATTGGATGATTGTTAGATAGATCTTTAAACATGATTAGATGATAGATAGATCTTTAAACATGATTAGATGATAGATAGATCTTTAAACATTATTGGATGATAGTTAGATAGATCTTTAAACATGATTAGATGATAGATAGATCTTTAAACATGATTAGATGATAGGTAGATCTTTAAACATGATTAGATGATAGATAGATCTTTAAACATGATTAGATGATAGATAGATCTTTAAACATTATTGGATGATAGTTAGATAGATCTTTAAACATGATTAGATGATAGATAGATCTTTAAACATGATTAGATGATAGGTAGATCTTTAAACATGATTAGATGATAGATCTTTAAACATGATTAGATGATAGTATATCTTTAAACATGATTAGATGATAGATAGATCTTTAAACATGATTTGATGATAGGTAGATCTTTAAACATTATTGGATGATAGTTAGATAGATCTTTAAACATGATTAGATGATAGTTAGATAGATCTTTAAACATGATTAGATGATAGTTAGATAGATCTTTAAACATGATTAGATGATAGATAGATCTTTATACATGATTTGATGATAGATAGATCTTTAAACATTTTTTTCAGAGAATTCTCATTCCTGAGGTTAAAAATTACTCATTTTTTGATTGTATATTACTTGTTTTACTTGAGAAATGTATTAAAGATGAAAGACTTGAGGCAAACAGTTTTACATGAATTTTTCTTGTGCAGAATTGTTTTTTGATATTTTCAGATGCTTGTGGTTTTTAAATCTGCTCCAATCCTCAAACGAGCACTAAAAGTGAAACATGCCATGATGCAGCTGTATGTTTTGAAGTTACTGAAGATGCAAACCAAATATTTAGGACGACAATGGCGAAAAAGCAACATGAAGACAATGTCTGCAATATACCAGAAAGTTCGACATCGTCTTAATGATGACTGGGCATATGGAAATGGTAGTTTTACATCATTTTATGTTTGGTTTTAATTTTTTAGTCACCACTAATTACCTAAAATACTTTAGGTGAAAAAGTAAATTAGGCCTCTACAGCATATTTTCTTCATTGAAATTCACATTTTGGTGAAAAAATGATATTAAATAAATTTTTATGTTTTTATTTCATACCTCAGTAAGTACTGCTGTTTACAAAGGAATTTTTGCATATGTATTATTCTGGGACTTATTCATGAAAAATATCATATTTTTCCCATTTACTTGTTGCTTTTGGAAATAAGTAATGCATATTTGAACTTAAGCTAAACTTATTTCTATCTGAAATCAATTATTTAGGTAATATTTTACTGTTACTTTATACTTTACTATCACCTCATCTTGTTCTTCTTACTGAGGTTAAAGATTTATTTATGTAGGAACAATTGAGCATTATCGATTCTAATATTATTGTATTTGATGATTTTATTGAAACTGGTTGTAGAAGTAAGATGAGTCGTGTCTCAGGTTTTACAAAATTACAATAGTGATTGGAAGCTAATAAAAGGTTAATCGAGCGTTTAATATTTCTGTTAGATTGGTTAAGGTAGATAAAAAATAGCATGTTTTCCAGCCAGATGTTTACATTCTAATCAAAAACCTTTTACTAATCAGACGAATGGGGGGAATTAAACTTCTAATAAGTGAAAAATCCCTAGATACTAACTATATGAAGTTCACCCACAAAATGATTGATACTGAGATTTATAGTGATAAGCAAAAGAAGTTATAAAAATTAATCTTAAGCCTAAGGTATATGATGAACCACTGTTGCCTTGTAACACCAAATTTGACTTGAAAGGTTTGTTTTTATTTAGTTGAGATATCCAAATTGAGGATAGAAGAAGAAAACATGGGGAAGATGGTAAACAACTTTTCTTTTATAAGTCAAAATTCTCGTGCTGACTGGTTTGTTTCAGGGTGGAGATAATTTACATTTATGATCTAGAAAAACTTCACGAGAATAAAGCTCCTGGCCCTGACAATGTTTATCCTAAAACCATGAAGATGTTTAGCCAAGAGAGTGAAGTCCTTGATTTTTATTGGTTGGAAGTCTTTTTGAAACACCTGAATATTGAAAATTAAGACAATTTTTAGTGGAATATTTTGACATCCAGCTGTTAGAAATGTCTTTGTTTCTCAAAAGTAGGGTTTTTGGGTGATACTTGTTAAGTTAAGATATACAGCTTATGTGTAAACAGTTAAACTTAACATTTTCATACACTGACAATGTATTTCTGCCCTCTAAGCATTGCTGAAAAAATTTTCATCCGTAGCACACCAGTTTATATACCCCACCAATTTTGTACCACAATTGAACATTTATGTAGCATGTGAATACTCTCCACCAATAGTATTGCACCATCTATATTAACGTAGCTAACACCCTCTGCTAGTTCCTTTCAATCCTCACTTTCGAGAATTGGCAGGTTGTAAGAGAAGAACATTGGCAGAGGGGAGGAAATGTTTGAGGAAAGTACCTATCAGAAATACATTTTCAGCATAAGAAAATATTAACTTCCAAAATGGTCTTACCTCATCTCACAGAAAACTAGAATCCCACATTCCAAAGGTGGAGGAGCACGATATTGAAACCAACCAGAAAACGCCTGCCCAGAATGAATGGATGTGCTCTGAGATGAAACCGAAGCACATGTGCTCTATATCTGGAACAGGTATGAATCTGATGCAGGCAGAAAAAATAGGATGTGCACAAGTGCAATTTGTTCAGAGAGGTGCAATCCATAATAAAATGTAAACTTAATGAGCTATGTGGATACCCAACCTCAACTGGATAGACATGGTTTCATAACTTATCCTTGGCATTAGGAGTTGAGGATCAAAACAAATATAGTGTAACATAAACTTAGTGGCTAGTGCACGTGGACCATGTTATATATACTCATCAACTCAAATCATAAGTATACAGAGTGTCATACGTCAAGCAACCAGAATTACAAAGAGGAAGTTAGTAGTCAGCCAAAACTGGACAAACTTCCAAAACAACCATAGGAGCAAGAAGTACAACAAACCAAACCTGGCATTATGGAGTCATGGCATTACCTCAACTCAGTCATAAGAATAGGGCAATATCTGTAACAAGTATTACTAGCAGAAATCATAATTCACCCAGCCATAAATTCAGGGAAGAGACATCCTGCATTCCGAAGGAGAACGTGGAATATTTGCTCAACCAAAGGAATAGCATACGTATGTCCTGTTGCCTGTATTATGAGGCAAATGATGTTCCCCAAACTCAACCATAGGAATAGCATACGTGTGTCCTGTTGCCTGTATTATGAGGCAAATGATGTTCCCCAAACTCAACCATAGGAGCAGGGAAAGGACCTTCTGTAACCAGAATTAATGAGAAGAGGAGCCTCTGCTGCACACAACCATAGGAACAGGGTGGTGTTATCCTGAACCCAGTATTATGAGGAGGATCCCACTTAGACTGGATTTGCTATGACTAACAGTTGTCCACCTGGGAAAAAAGTATCCAGGGGAAATAGAAGAAAGGAAACTAGCTTTGCCCTCTTCTCACCGAGTGGAAAATCATGAGGATGAATAGTAACCTAAAATTCAACAATGCACTCGGAAAGAAGCCTCCATGGTATACTACTCCAGCAACTGGGAAGTGGTAAGGACTCCCTTGCTCCAGAGGAAGGTCACACCAGAGAAACTGCAATGGATATCCATGAGTCCCTATTTTGGAAAGAAAACACTGATTTATTCAATCAAAGAGTCATCAGGAATGAGTAGAAATCCCATTCTGCTTTATCATGAAGTCCATGAGTGATGTTCCACCACTGACATCTAGAAACATATGTATATACCACTGGATATGTCACCAGTGGTCTTGCAGAACACCCAATCTCTACAGTGAGCATTATAATACAATCATTAAATAGTGTGGGTTTGAAGCAAAGCATACCTGACCAGGCAACATCCACCACAAAATGGGATCTCATTATCAGTTGTAAAAGAAAGGGGGTCTCTGAAAAGAAAACATAAATGAAAGGAAGTGATAAGACTTACCCCAGTAAAAGGTGAAAGGATGTGTAGAATCGCCATGTGAGGAAGACGATATCCACCTGAGGAAGATACAGCCAGATCATGCAGAAAACGAGTGATGAGGTATTGGGAATAGTTCACATTCTGGCTTGAACGATCTTCTCCAACAGACAGTGAAGATGAATGGCCAAAGATATGGTAAGATGACAAATTTGATGAGAAGAAACATCGTGGAGATGGCAACCTTCCATGGATAAGTCTGAGCATGACAGGGAATAGAGCATGGGAAATGGAAGGGTTCCAGGGAATAAAAAGTTGGGAACATGAACTCTTAAAGGAAGCAGTATGTGCCACTGTAAGGAGTGAACTAAACAAAGAAGCCGATCAGGATCAGAATGGGAGTACAGGTGGGAGATGGAAGGTAAGGAAATGGGTGTGAAAGCCAAACCACCTTCACATGCAGCATAGGTCCTATGGAGAAAGCACTGGTCAGGATATAGAATGACATATGAAGAATGGTAGAGGATGTTGGTAACATTAATAGCATAAATATCTGATTGAAGACATCCACATGCAAGGAGAAGAAGGAAATAGATGTTGAGGGAGAGATGGTACATGGAACATGTAGACAAAGGGTTCATAAGAAGGACAGAAAAGGGCATAAAGGGCCACAATGAGATCCTAATCAGGTGCAAGTCAAAGATAAAACAAAAGAAGGGAAATGACAGGAGAAGGCAAAACCTTACAAAACTAGGAGAAATGGAATATGTCCAACAAGGCCACTTGATAGCTAGACATGGTTGAAGTGGACAAGACTTTGTCAAACAATCAGGTGAAGAATTGAAAAAGATGAGGAATGGAAATGTGGTAAGGACAGAAACCATGTCGAAGAGTCCAAAGGCAGAAGATAGAGAATCACCTTTGCTAAGTGGACATGGATAATGGTCTGATGGATTGGGAAAGGAAAGATGCAACATGTGGAGTCAGTCCCTGGACTGAAGCAATAGACCTGACAAAAGACATGCATGAAGATGGAGTGTGATGAAATCTGGATGAACAATGTCTGATCGAGGTTGAAGAAGTAGAGACAAAGACAGAGGTAAGAGTAGAGGAGGTTGTAATAGAAAAGGTCAAAGCAGTGGGAAACGTGGTTGCACCAGCGAAAATGGAACCACTAGTAGAACTAGACACAGAGTGGTTTGTATTAGGGAGGGAATTCTGGAGAGGAATAGAATAGAAGGGTAAGTATGGATGTGAAGACCCCTCTAATCTTGACTGCATGTGTCCACCCCCCAGAGTTAGCAGGAGTGGAATGGAAGACCAGAAGGAAGGAAGTTTAGTGTACCAAGGGATCACTCTGTGGAGAGAATCCTGTTAGGATCAGATAATTGATCTGCAACCAGCTTCAGGGTGCCAGGAACATTGCAAGCTAAGACCACAATGTGGTGATTGTGGGCCCAGAAAAGGAGATCCAAGATATGAAAGCACAGAGACCTGGAATTGGTACACCCTTGCTTGGTGACATAAGTGACTACTGTAGAGTTGTCAGAGTGTACCATAACCACCTATCCCTGCAGGAGAGGAAGGAAGTGGGACAAAGCTCGATGAACTGCCATAAGCTCGGGAATGGTGATGTGGAGAGAAGACTCCTTGATTGACCAGAAACTGGAAATTTCCTGGGAGTCGAGGTAAGCACCCCAACCCCCTAAAGATGAGTCCATGAACAGGTGAAGATCCGAACAAGGCAGAGGAAGTAGCACACTGTTGTGGTCTAGTCTCTGTCTAACCACCAAGCCAGGTCAGCTCTGATTAGGGAATGAAGGGTAAAAGAGTGGTCCAATGGATCCAAGTAGAAGTTCCACTGATCTAAGTGTGTCCA